ATTATTCCTAATTTAATATTTGATTTTTCTACACGAATAAAAAGCACAACAGTTTCGGTAACTAACTGACAACTGACTGTTGGTCCGGTGAGTAAATTGAAATAATAAATAAATCAATTATTTTAATTCGAATTTTCCGACGAATATTTCATGTTTAATTAGCGTTTTTTAGATCAAATGGTAAACGAAAACGCATTGTGAACCAATTTAAATACAATAAATTGCATTAAAAATGTATTCGTTAATGACAATAAAAAATAAATGAGAAGGCGTCCAAGCTTAAACAAAGCAGTTTGTCTTGTCAAATGGAAAATGTTTTTCTATTCGCCGTCGCAGGATTTATTGTCCGGTTATGCTAATTAAGAAACTTTATTACGGACCGAAGTGAGCAGTTGAAACTATTGAAAAGTTGTCGATGGCACTGATGTTCCCCTGCACGAGTGGCATTAATTAATGTAAATTGGCTTACTTTCAATTGACCAACTCGATTCCATGAAAGTTTCAGCTTCACTGACGTCAACAACAGCAAAAGCAGCTGCCGAGGAAGCAACTCAGGAACTCAGGAACTCGGGAGGACTGTTGGCGTTAAATCCCAAACAAATTATCCCAGACACGTTTCAGAATGCAAACAAGATGCTCGGAGACACACATCCACCAGTGGGGCGATTATAGTCTGATTTTGGTTCTTGGAAAGTTCCAAGCAAATTATGAAGCTCTTAGTGCCGATTTAAGGAATATTACCCCTGGTTTTCGGACAGAAACCCTCCAGCAAACGCAAACAAAAATATAAACACAGTTAAAAAAAAATGTTCATATTTAAAGTCGATTTAAATCGAATGAAGTAAAAATTGAATAATTAAATAATTTATCCTTACTAACTCTTATATCAGAATAATTACAATTCTTTAAGCTTGTCAAAAAAATGGATGGTAATTTTTATGGCACATAAATTTGTATTCTAAAAACCAATTTATTTTCTAATTTCCTCTTGATATACAAAGTAATTGTTGCTTAAGATGGTAATATATAAATGTATATCTGCAGATGATTTTGCACAGGTCACAAATCTTTTCTTCAATATAAAATTTAACCGTCTTACAAGTCAGCTTGTAAAAGCTAAGTTACAAACTCTCGATTTTTCCCCAGTGTCAGCCTCTAAGGAAGGGCGCCGAATCCACATCAGATCCGGAGACTGGGACTTGGATGGGTTCACGCTTAACGGTCCATGTCCATGGTCAAGGCTGCACGGTTTATTGTTTTGGCCACTGCAATTGAGCGAAATATTTCGAGTTATTTTTGGCTCTCGACTTGTGGCGCAGCTAATCTTGCGTTGTCTGCTTTCGGGGATTGCGAATTTTGTTTTGTTTGTCTGGGGAAAAAAAAGGGGGAGAAAGGCGTGGGAAGCCGGGGCTTCAACTACATCGAGTACATCGAGGCCATAAAGCAAACACTTTTAGTTTGTTGAACTGTGACCGGAGGACGGGGCTTCTAATTCGTTGTCAAAAACTGCCAGTGCCAGCTGTTGGCTTCTGCTCGGATTTTAAACTGGCCTCGTTTTTCCCCACTTGTTATTTTAATTTGCTTCATTGTTCTGCGGCAAGTGACAGATGCTGAGAATATTACGGCAGCAGATTGGCTGTATATAAGCATTCTGCACATCGTGGATAACCGGTATTCCACCACACTTGTGGGCTCACGACTGGAATTTAATTAAAATTTCTCCCATGACCCAACATTTAAAGTGTAAATCGGTTATGCACCACGACAATCCGACTGAGCCGCACCACATAGCACACAGAAAATAATATTTATTTGTCATCCACTGAAAAAGAGCAGGAGTTGACCCCATGGCAGTGCCGACGAAAGAATCAATTGGGTTCATCGAAACATGGATTGTGGGGCTAGGGCACAATAAATAAACACATAAGTCGGCCATGAAGAGTGTCCTTTGGACCGTGTTTACACAACTTTAATTGAAGCCCCAGCAAGGATACTCTAGCTTTTTGTACATCACTTGTTCAGCCGCTCGACCGCATTTTTGTGTAAATTTTTAATTGAACGACAACTGAAGCGATTTGCTCATCCTAATTTGTTGCTATATGTAACTTTAAAGCCAGCTGCTTGTACAATAGGAAGAAATGGGATTACTCTAAACCACTGAAAAAATGTCATTAAAACCTTGAATGAATTTCATAAAATTATTATATGTAATTTATACTGCCAATGACGTCAAGCTGAATTCGCGATTTCTGACATATGTAACTTTAGAACCAGGAATTTAAGCAAAAGAATGGAAGGGGAAATCTCTAAATAAATGGGGGCTAATTTAAATATTAAAGGTTATACATACAGGTCGAATACGCGATTTCTGAATCAATTCCGGATTCATTTATCTAGGCATTTGCTGGCTAAAATTAAAAAAAATTTATTTATATATTTTTTGAGCATGTCCTGGAAATGTGAACTAATTTTTCTCAGTGTTTCTAGGGTGAACTCGGTGATGGGTTCAAAGCGACTCGGCTTTTGTTCGAATGTTTGCCGGCTCGTTAGGTGCAGACAAGGACCAGCAGAGAATGACCGGGCAGCATGCATGTGTGGGCTTTAAAATCTGCACATGGCCATGGACTTGGATGTGGATATGGCCACTCAGGGTCCAAAAGTCCAAAAGACCAAGTTATTTGTAGACTTGCCTATGGAAGGACAGAAGACAGAACAACAAATAAATTCGGCGCTTTGAAAAGTGAAAGTTTGTCGCTCATAAACTGGAAGAGTAATCTGAAAAGTCTGTGCGTAATGACCGGGACAGTATGCGAGCTCCTCCGCAGGACTTATTAAAGTTGGATCCCGGTAAGGGAACAAATCTGGAGCGCTCTTCATCTTCGTCAGGGAGCTTTGTGCTAGCTGTTTGGCCGTTAAACTGGTTGTCTAGACCGTAAGTAAATTTATGGCTCTGATTAATATCTTTATTGTGTCAGATTATGATTGACTAGGCGGCAAGCCACACGATTTATTGATGGAGGGCCCGCCCAGCCAGCATCCCTCACTAAGAGCTCCTCACAAAAGAATCTCCTTCGCTGATGATGAATGAGAAGGACGGTCCATGTAGGTCCAAAGGCAAGTCTTTTGTTATGGTTTCCTGCCAACAGGCGGTATGGAATTACATGGGCCTTGGCTAAGCGGTATTCAATAAGTAAATTTCCATTTGATATATGAGCTGAAACCACATTACAACTTCAATCATTCAGCCAACTCATAAGTCAGGTGAAGGGGCGACAAAATGGCTTTGAATTTTTCAGGACTTGACTCTCCACTTGGTTTCCACTTGAATTTATTTGCCTGCTTTCAAAGAGCCATTAATAATTCTGTTTGGCCATAATACCAGAAAAGGCGGCAGACACAGGTCTTAAATTTGTGTGCCATTTTTGAGTTGATTTATTTTGTGAAACTAATCCCACTCTCTGCATTCACCCCACGTGCCAATTCGCCGCAGGATAAGCCCATTCTTGCCTCATCTTGCACATTCGTTTCAATACGGACTTCCTTGCCTACAAAGCCCCCTTGACTAATGGACCTCCGGCACTTGGCCAGGTGCAAACTTTGTTGGCAGGCTGAAGTGCAGCAAGGATAGTTGATTTACACTCAGCGAAACAGTTTATCTGTTCTAATGTTCAATGGGAAATGAAAGAAATTTACCATGTAAGGTGGATTTAGATTAAATAAGTATTAAAATCCTGGATACGTTTTTATCTATTTAGCAAACTTTTGCACATTTAAAAACAAAAAAAGCTTTTGAAGTTAAAAAAAGAAAGAAATTTAAAAACAATATCCGGTATTATACAAAAAAACAAAAATAAAGAGGCCAATAGGACAAATGAAAAATAGCTATATATAGTCCGGGTTCCGACATAACACAAGAAAGACAACTTGGAAAAGTTCAGCAGATAGCTTAAGAAGGACTAGTTGCGAGAAAGGAGAGAGAGGGAGAGAGGAAAGGGTAAAAGGACTCTCCTGGTGAGAAATAACTTTAAATTTATAATATAACCTCCCAAGGGTATAAATATATTTTGCTAATATTTTATTTATGTTTCTGCTGAGGGTATTTATAATTTTGCGAGGGCTCTCCATAAAGTATATATGATCAACATTGCCCGTCCGCGCCGTCGCCGTCTGTGCTCATAAAGATATCAAGAAACTTCACACCTTCTTCCTTGCACGCAGTATAAAGTCGGAACGGAGGCCACATCAGCGCCATATAACTGTTGATCGGAATGCCATACTGATGTTGTAAAGTTAGGAGTTGGGATTTGAGTATTAAGAATAATTTGAATAATTTGGAGAATATAATTTACAGAGAATTCTGCAAGGGTATATCAACTTCGGCTCCGCCCGAAGTTAGCTTTCCTTTCTTGTTTCTATTTTCTTTTAGCCTGATTGTTTTTTTCACCGCCGTGTTTCCATTTTCTTTCATCATGATTGTTTTTTTCAGTGGAAATGCAAAAGAATGCCTGCCAATCTGTAGGAAAAATGTCGCAAAAACGATGAACAGATTTCTTAGTCACGCTGTTTCTTAAGTCGCAACCTGTTTTTTCAATTTTGCAACTTGGAATGCACATGAGGGTGATTGAGTTCCTGGCATGCATTGTGCTAGAAGAGAACTCAGTTAAAAGGATTTTGATGTATTGTTATCAACATTTTTTATTTATTCACATTATTTGCTGGGGGCTCGACAGCTTAACACCTAATTTATGAGTGCTATTCGGTTGGCATCTCAAGGATGGGGGCGTGGCATTTCGTCAGGGCACTTTGTAGCCTCATTAGCCTGACTTTATGCCTCGCATAAATCGTCTGGACCGTGCCCATTCGTTCTATTTTTTTATGGCCCACCGAAATTTGCATGCAAAGCATTGGACTTTTTCTGGCTTATTTACAGATTGAAAGGTTTATTGTGCTAACTAAACAATGCCTAACTAAGCATAACTCTAGTTATCAGCCAGCTGGAATCACTGGGACTTGGGTGAACCGTAGGCCAGGGCCTCGCTTGTGGAATCCTCCGTTTTTTGCCTCCGCTTTCGCCAGGGAAATTTCCGGAAGCTTCGACCCGCGACAGAGGCCGATTGACAAGTCTCCGGATCCGGCAAACTATGGCTTCCACAAAAGGGCGGAGTGGTGCCACTGGTCACCTCATCCCTGCGACTAATCACCCTCGACAGCTTGAGACGAGTGGCTGGTTGGGTGAGTTCCGATGGGTCAGCGCCTTGGGGTGGGGTCACCAGTAGGGCCCCACTTTTGGTGGCCAAAAGTGCCCGTTTGGCCCTGCCCGCGGAGTAGTGTTTGTCCACCACCTCCGCCTCCAGAAGCGAGTTGGCATCGCCCAGGGAGGAGAGCTGGGACACCTGGGCCTGCAGCATTCGATGGGGCACTGCGGTGCCCGGAACCGGGCCATAGAACTCCTGCTTCCGAAGGCGTCGGCCACCTCCAACTCCATTTCCCGCTCCCATGCTGCTGCTGTTAATCGTGGTGGTCGTCGTGGTGGTGCGAATGCTGTCCTGCAGCGACAACTGGTGGCTGGCATCCCGGCAGCGGAACTGCACCACCCGGTAGGATCCGTAGGGCTCCAGGGCGTTGTTGTTCACACTGCAACTGGCCGGTTGCAGCCGCATCGATCCATTCTGCCGCAGCAGAGCACTGTAGTTGTGCTGGTGGTGCTGGCTCTGCTGGTGGTGGTGGTTCCTGGCCAGTCCAAATTGCCTTGTAAGAGTGATCTATGTAAAGAATAAGGAACAACTCAGCTATGTTTATTACAAATAAATTAATTGTAATGTGTTTTAAATGTTTAGTGTAATAAACTGCTATTCGTATTGGTTTGATTGTACATACATGATATACATAACATACATACAAAATTCAACCCGATTTCAACAAAAAGATTTCTGTGGCTCGCCCAATTAAAATGATTTGGTAAATTAAGGTATATATAAAAATAAATTTAAGAAATAATTAATAATTAATATAAAAATTATTATTATATTAAATTAAATATTTAAAAGAAAATTGATTAATTCAATTTATTATTAAATTAAATTTTCTATTACATATTAATATTTTTTTAAATATTTAATCTGAGGAAATTAAATTAAGACATAGTTGTTCAAATTTTGTTTTATAATTGTTACCCTGTTAGTTTAAATAAAACTCAGTTATATTTAAGCAAATCAAACTTTAAAAGAATGGAAGGCCATATCCCTTTGTATTATTACATAAATAATTTAGAAAGGGTTTGACTGTAGATGGCTTATCCTGGGCTTACCTTGAAGGCCTCGCGGAACTTGTGGCTCATGATGTTGTACAGCAGCGGGTTGATGCAGGTGGAGAGGAAGTAGAGCACCCCGGAAGTGTAATCAAGTATCCGGAAGTAATCGTTGAAAGCGTCCCGACTGATGCCAATATTAATCAGGTTCAGGCCGTAAACGGCCATCAGGCGCTGGGCGTGGAAGGGAGCCCAGCAGAGGAAGAAGGCGACGGCTACAGCTACTGCAAATACGGGCAAGGATAAAGGGCGCATTAAGTACTCTGAACAAGTTAGCTACGCAAAAACAAGTGGGTCTGCCCCACGCTACATATGTTTTTTATCTCTTAAATCCCCTGTAATCCCATAGTTTTGGCAATCATTTTGTAAGAGCTCGTTAGTTGGAAAGCCAGACACTAATAGAAACATATTGGTAATACCTGTTGCTTAGCAATAAATTATGTTTTAATAAAACCGAATGAAGTGGCGCGCAGGAGAATGCTTCCTACTGTTTTTTTCCTTTCTGAAAACCAAATAATTTCCTATTAAGACTTTAGGCTATATCTACCCTTTTTGCCCATGAATATCCATTTAGTAAACCAAGGGCAGTGGTAAACTGCAGAATCAATGGGCTGTGGATTTCCAGTTAAAAGCCACATCAAATTGGGGGTCGTTTTCTAGTTATGGAAAATTAAACCTTGAATTCTGAAACTTCAGGGTTCAATACACTTAAACCAATTCGAATATGGAAAGAAGCAATAATTTGAATATGAATAATTTAAATATAATAATTTTATATTTTAAATACTCTTTTTAAGTTGTGCTGTTGTATAATAAAGATTAACAGCAATATTCATTCAAAAATTAACACTTTCAAAAAATTCAAAGAGTAAATTAATGGAAAAGTGTGATTTAATAAAGGTTTTCCAGACTATTTTTCTTCCACTGTTTTGGTTTTGCCAGATACACCAAGCAATCTTGACTTTATTTAAGTGTCCTGATTCTTTCACTTTTGAGGTGCCACCTGGTTTCACCTTTGCCGTTGAAGAGCTGTTCGCAAACACCAATGCTCTCAAAACATTAACGTCACCGCAGACAAAAAAAGAAACAGAAGCACATTCAACCCATATGACGCAAGTGCAAATTAAAGGAGGCGGTAAATAAAGAGGGCGGGGCAATGACGAATCCCCTGTTTGATGTCGCCAACGCAAATATGTTGACAGTAATTTTCAATTTAAGACTTTCGGCGAAAAAGTTTTGACAGGCTTCGTTGGCGGTGGGGGGCGTTTGCTGTCTTTAATCAATCAAGCCGCCAACTCAACTCACCTACCCAACATTCTGATGACTCGTCCCTGGGCGTTGAGGCCCCGATTGGCATCATAGGTCCTCCGCGGTAGCGATTGCAGCAGGCGGCTCCTCTTGAGTTTCACCCCGATCAGAACGTAGAGCACACAAATCGCCGTCATGGGTCCGCCGAAGAAAATGAATCCCGAGACGGCGAACACGTGGGCATAGAAGTCGTTCTCCATCTGAGGGATAGATTAAAAATGGACACTCAGTGGTGAGTCAGTTGGTATTTCACCATTTGATCCACCCACCGTGCAGGAGTATCCGTCGTTCTGGAAGACCACCGAAAATTGCATGGCTTGGGGAAGGGCCAAAAGGAAGGCCGCCAGCCAAATGGCAAATATAAATTTAATGGCGCGCGACAATTTTGACATGGTGTGCTGCCTACAAATGACGGAAAGATTAGGCTACATTATATGTTAAGTATTAAAGGGAAGTTGATGGAAATGTTGCCGCTTAATGTGGGCAGATATGAGATGAAAAATGTTAAGGCAGTTCTCTGACCATTTTCAATTTAAACGTTATTTTTTTCGCCTAGACTGTTTTTTTCTTTATTTAATGTATTAATTTCAATGTTAAAGAAGTATTCTGCTACCTTTGTGGCAGCCTGAGTAGGTTTTAAAGCTTTGCATATTAAATTGAACATAAATATGTACTTTAAATGTGGGTGTAAGCAGGAAAACACACAAACTCAAAATCAAATATTAATACCCTTTTACAAAAAAAGCTTACAAATTAACTTGTGTCGTGTTCCTTCACTAAATTAATAGTAAGTTAGGGCAGTGTGTAATTAACAAACATATGAGCAAGGAAGTTACCTCTTCAAAATATTTTAAAAAGCTTGCAATGATTATTTCTCAGGTTCATATTAAAATAATCAGAAAACTTAAACTTAGTTATGTCTTTTGTCCCTGACTTTGTGTTTATGAAAGAAATATGAAACCTATTTTCATAGAAAGTCCTTTTTTTCTTAACTTTATAATCAAGTTTGGAATGACTTCATCCCATCCGTTTATGTCTGTGTATAAAGTAAGTTGGAAACCTAAATTGTGTTTAACAGTGGAAAGAGTTTTTCATTCAAATTATTTGTTGCTTTTAAAGAGTGTCAGTAGCAAAAGAAACTTAATATGGGGTTCGCTGGAAGCCATTAAGCGAAAATCAAGAATGGAACCAAAACTTTTTCGTTTAGGAAAGCATTTGTATTTTTGGCAATCAAATCAAATTGTGTAAATTTGTGGTTCTAGAATAAGCATTGGTCAGCCTTAGCTTTGTGACTCTAAGAGTGAAATTGTCGAGAGTAAACTTTCTGTCAATTAAGTCGGTCAAAATAAAGTTTTGCATGGTTTATATCTAAGTTCATTCAAAAAGCTGACTATTAATTAGTGTCAATAAATAAAAGGTAATGGGTTTGCTGGGTTATCTGAAAATTATGTGTATTTTGTTGTCAAGCCTGATATGTTTTATAGTTCCCCAACCTGTTTAATTATGAATAATTATTGTGCTTATAATTTATGTTATATATGTGAGATCCCATTTCATGGCGTTTGTGACTGACGCGTATCAAGTTGTATTTATCTATTTATCGCCTGCCCTATTTTTGGGTAATCCACTTTGTTAATGAATGCGAACGAAATAACACTGATTAATTAGACGATATTTTGAACTGTTAAAGCTAGATATATCTATGATGAATGAAAAACAAATGAACATATAATGTAAAAGTTAAATTTATGTGTAAAATGATTCAAAATTACTATACACAGAAATGCGTTTATTACTCAAAACTCACCGAAAAGGGATGGCAGATGGCAATGTATCGCTCTACAGTGAAGGCCGTGATGGTAAGGACCGTTGCATTTGCGGCCATTTCCGAGAGCACACTGCCCATGATGCACATGGCGTCCGTGAAGGGGTACATATCCGGGTACCATAGGTTGTACAGCTCCTGGGGAATGCCTGCAGGATACTTGTCACATTACGCATACGCCGGGTTGGCCCCCAAAGTCCAAGCTCACCTGAGACCAGCAGTATCAGGTCGGAAACCGCCAAGTTGAACAGATAGAAATTGGTGGCCGTGTGCATAAAGTTATTCCGGGAAATCACAATGCAGGTGATAAGATTACCCAGCAAGCCGGCCACAAAAATGAGGGCATAGCAAACGGTGAAGGCGGTTCGCAGGGTCAGGGACTCGACGGCCGACGAATCCGCTGCCATTGTGCTCGCATTTGTGCCGTTCGTGGAGCCCAGCAGGTTTGAGAGATTCTCGGTCGTTATGTTCATCATATGGGCGAATTGTGTTAGAAGCAGCAGCAACAGCTCGGGGCTCTCGCTGGGATTGGGCATGGCGGATGTGGCGGTGGCGATGGCGGGATCCTGATTGGGACTGGGCGACACATGAGCCATGAATGATTGATTGAGGCCATCATCGATGCTGTCGTTGGCGATGGCGATGGCAACGCCCTGCAACATGCTAGCTGTCGTCGATTAATTGCGGACTCGATCCGAAGCCCAGGCCCACTCCCAGTAGGAAAAACAAAACCGAATCGTCCGCCTACTCCTATCAATGCGTTGTTAATACTGTCTGGCGTATCCTTTGCGGCTGCGGTGGCACATGGCCGATAAGCAGTCGACGACAGGCCCAAAAATTGCGCACTCGCCTGTGAAGCAAACAACATTAAAAGTCATTAGACACAAGTATGAATTTAAATTGAAACCCCAGCCAGGAAAGCATAACATTTTGAGACACGAGACGGCGTCAGGTGGCCAAAACACTCGATAAGGAAACTGCGTATCAATCCCGAAATAAAAACACTCGACTACTGCCAATTAAAAATAAGCATCTGGCATTGGCGTTATGCAGAGGAACAATCACGAAAGAAGAACGACATGCCTTTGTGCTTTAAACTAAATATCATTATTATTAATAAATTTATTTTTCTTGAAAATTCTGTTCTGCGTTTTTAAAAATGATTAAAAGAAAGCTTAGTTAAGCCATAGGAAAAACATGTTAGTTCATATTTCTGACCAACTGTTAAGAATGGAATTAATGTTGATAACATTTTTCTCTGTATGCCACTTGGCTCTATTAATAGTAAACATCTTAAGCTGTAGCAAACAGATTGCTGGCAATCAATACAAATATAGTTGCGGATGAAAAAGTTTTTCTATTTGCTCGTTCTTAACCGTGATGAGTGAAACGAAGCTTGATTGCATGTGTGGGAAAGTTTTTCGGCGTAGAAAAAGGGAAACTTTGCTACACCCGACTGTCATTTAGGTCACATTAGGGATCCCAGCACATGCGATACATTAGAGATTCCCTTAAAAATAACATGGGCGTAATATTTCACTTATTATGTCGCCAACACGTTCTGGATGGGTTTCTCATGCTGCCAAACATCAAATTCTGGGGTTAGATGTCGTAGGATATGTAAGGAACACCAAGTCAGTGTCAGTGCCATGGCTTACAGCCAGAATTTCGGGTTGGTACGTCTTATTAATTATGTTTCCTGTTCGTTAAGCGTTCTTCCCGCATGAGAAACCTAAAGAGCCCCGGAAAGTATGCTACGGACGTATAGGACACGCTAGTCTTGAGGGGTCAGCCTTTCAGGATGACTTCTCATTGACGCAAACTAATTGGAAAAATAATTGAATTGCCAGGTCAGGTGTGAAAGTTGATTTAGATATGATTGGGCACAAACCAAGAACTCGGAGTCTGAGCCAAGTCTGTGTACAAATGTGCGACTTTCATCGCAATTATACAATCCAATCAGCCAAAGCAATGCCACACGCCCCACATTAGTATTTCAAATTCAATTTCAGATGCTGAGCAAGTTTAAACCGCAATCTAGTAGCATTGCCCAGGTGGCCAGATGTCAACGGACAGCCCTAACATTTTTTAATTAAACTTTGCGGTTTCAAAAGGTACGCAATTTAGAAAAACGCAGCTCTTTATATTCTAAGAACCGAAAAGAGTCCTGAGTAAATTGCTATTGACATGTTGATTCTTTCAAAGGCTAGATTAAATAACAAAACCTATTTACTTTTGCTGCGCGTATTGTGTCCTTCTTGGTAGTCGTATCCTCATTCGTGTATGAGTCGCAAAAGAAGAATGTCACTTTCTTATTTTTTTCTATTGGATGTTTAAGGACTTCCGCGTCGAATTGTTTAACCTTTTCGTTTTGTAGTTGGAAATTGTGTCAACTGAATAACAAGAAAATCGTTTGATTTTTTTTAACCGGATCTACTGAACGGAAAATTAGTTTCGCACTTTGTTGGGCAATCAAAGAGACATGTTTAATCAGTTGCAATTCGCTTGGGAATGCAGGCTATCTCTACTTAAAATAGTCAAACATATTGTATCACTTTATACATTTTTAAAAGAAATATTTAAATTTGTTTTCAACACTTTTTCAGAATATTTTTTATTTAACCATCACTTTAACGGACTTTCGGCTAGAATATGTTTTGGTCACGTTATTTTTCGATCCGCACACGTCCGAAGTGGAGCAAAGTCGGGGACAGACTGAGTTGCCTTGCGGCAATCGAGGCAATCGTCGACGGCTTCTGTTAGCCAAATGTTAACCGACAGCAGTTCTTGGCCTTTTCGCTCTCCGTGTTCGTCTGTTGGCAAACATTTGCTCCTAATTTCATTCATAAATTCATGCACTTCACCTTGACTCTGCCACCGTGGCGTCTCCGTAAGTTATGTCTTACTTGTCGGATGAGTAATGTCGCAGGCAGCTGGTTATAGAGCGTGGCCATAACCGGCAGTCAATCCAGTTGAATGGCGAGTTGCGCGGCTCTAATTGAAATTGCAAATGGCCTAAAAGCACTAGCACTTACTTTTAATATTTATTGCTGAAGGCGCCCGCCTCAATTGTTTTCTCTGACCTCAGAGCGAGCGAGGAAAATGAGAAATCAAAGCCATTTTTGAGATCGTAAAGTACGGGAATAAATGTGTTTGTTTTGCAGGACATGAGGCCTGAGTTTTCCTTTGGCGAGTGGGAGACGAAACCGCATATTAATGTCGGCCCTTGTCCGCAGATTTGTGGATTTGTTTTCATTATCCTGCCTTCTGGTTTGGTTTCAGCTCGCCTTGGGCCACGCGTTCAATTGGAGCCGCTCGTTGTGTTCGACTTTAAGAAATTGAGTTGGTTGGGTGGCGAAGACGTCTCGCTGAAGAGTTTTCAGTCCAATTTGGCATGGTTGTCTGGTCGCGGTAAATATGCACAGTTGCTGGAGCGTAACCACAATCTGGGTTTTGGGGCTCGCCTAAGCGCCTTTAGATATTAAGGAAATGCCTTCGCGCGGGATGTAAGAATTTATGAAGTTATTCCTCTTACACGAGAAGCAGCAGTATACATTAAGCCGCACGAATTGTGTTTTTCCATGTATTTAACTTGGACATTACTTAGCTGTGTGTGGACAGCATTATCATATTTTTTCATTCTCGGTGAGGAACAAGGGCTTCATAAATTAATTATACATATTTTAAAAATTACTTTTTCAGTAGTTAAAAAATAGTACTTTTAATTGTAAAACCTAATTTATAATATTGCATAAAATTAAATATTTTTTAATAAAAAAAACATATGAAACTAAACTTTGCTATGATTTTTTATCTGTGTATTAATCGCATACCAAACAGATTTACACATTGATCCGACGTAAATGCGATTAAACACGCGTTAAATTAATGTTGCTCCGAATAATCACCGACCGCAATCTGTAAGTCAATTTCCTGGATTATTCATGAGCTCCTTGCCGGCCAGAGTAAATAATAAATGACCTGTAGAAGTTGCGTATACGCAACGTTGACACAGTGGTTAACGTGTGTCTGTGATCCCGAATGATTCAATTGGCCGGTGGATGATGCTGATTAGCATAATGCCTTCTGACACACATGTGGACCACCCACAGAGACACAAAGGATGCCCAGATCCTAATCGAAAAGGGTCGACCGCAGTTTTGAGGGCACAGTTGGTCCAAGTTCTCCGAATCTGGCCTTGATTAACGACTGCAGAGGGCAAACGACAATGATAATGTTCTAGCCGCAACCAGAGCCACTGATTATCTGGTCGACTTGATGAACGATGCCGAAATGAGGGCACTGCAATTGCGGCTAAAGCCGCTTTTAAAAGCGTCATGTTATTTTAGATGTGGCTAATTAAGTGCAATTAAACTAAATGGGGGAGTCCTTGGCCTTTTACTTTCCCAAGAGTCCCGATCAATGAACTGTCACCCGGGACGAAAATATCCTTTTACATACTATAAACGAGTAGTTCATACTCAGAAGCCCACGCTCTCAGCTCAACTCGCATTACTCATACAACCCGTTGGCCGAAGTTTATGGGAAGTGCTCTACTTTTATGTTGGAAATTGGGCATCTTGACTGGCAATGGCATGTCGAAAAGGGCAATTGCCGGGCTTTTAACCAAATGAACCCCAGCTAACACGCACACCTCTCTTTTTTTGTGGGAAATTCAATTATTTGAAAGGCTTTGCAGTGCAAGTGGGAGTTTGGCTTCATTCGCCCAATCGAAGGTCACAATTAGCCACGAGCTCTGAAATTTTGTCAACGACTTGTTGAGCGCGTGATAGAGTTCAATAAATTGACGTCGCCAAATAAATTCGACTTAGGGTTGGCAGCGAAATTTCGATACTCTGACTAGGCCTTGTAACTCTGAGATTTAAATATTAAGTTTGTATCCTAAAAAATAAAAGTCTCAAAAATCGTTGTATATATATTTTGAAATGCTTCAATTTTGTTTTGACATGTCATAAACAAAACGAGTGAATATACCATTTATGACCCGAAGCACTAAAATCAACTAATAACAGTATAAGAAACCATAAAATTACTCAGCGCATTCGCTTAGCATAAAAATAACCATAAAAATATGAAGCTATAAAAAATTAAATACCGCATGACAATTGATTATTTCACGAAAAAGATAATACGTTTCTATAAAGTTAATGACAAAAAGTTTGAACGAGACATAAGTTATGAATTTTTTTCTTTGTATAATGAAAAAAGAGATCTTAATCAAAAATAGAACCATGCTATTTTTATAAAGAAATACATTTTATTTGTGTTATACATTATTCGAACGACACAAAAAAATATGCTCAAAAACGTTTCAAGAATTCATTAAAAATGTTTCAAAATGCACTATCTTGTGCTGGCAGACAACTTTCATATTTCATTTCTATAAACCCCAACTCTAATATAATATTGACATTACTGAGGTGGAAGTTAGGGAAAGCAGTGGGCGACAACGGGTTGGTCGAACTGCAAATGACTTTCGGCATGCCCTCCCTGCGTGCAATAAAACTAAATGAATTGGAAACTTGCACAAAAATTCAACTAAACTGCTGACGAGGATGCCGCCGTCGCCTGATGACAGAGTCCTGGGCAAAAGACAGAACTTCAAAATGCCAAACAAGAGCTCGACTCAAAAGACGCTCCGAATCTGATGTCATGCCCAGTGTTCATAAAGAGCAAAGCAAACGAAAATCTCCCCCATTTTCCATTTCCCATGCCCTTGCCCTTGCCCTTTTTCCCGGCTTTCATCAACAATTCGCAGTCAAAGTTTTGACTGGGAATGCCTTTGCAGCACGTGCTGCGTATGTTTGCTATGCCTTCGAATTCATGAGGCTCTCGTTCAAGAGATTAGGAGGGAAATGGAGAAGGGACCCTGACAAAGAAGGGCCACCCCTGACCCTAGATTCCCGCCCTCCTCCCTTAACTGTTTGTTTGTTTAGGACTTTGTTTTGATTAAGTGCCAAAAAATTGTTTCGTATTATTTGCATAAAAATTGAGAAATTGAATGCATGCAATGGATTTGATTTGTTTGCCCCGCAATTCGATTTTCTATACGCCTCGTACACATCGCGTACAAATAAATACTACTACATTTGTTTTCTCTTAATATCGCACTAGCCGATAGGGCGGAAATACACATTTTATGAGCCGCCAAGCTCGGATAGATTTACCCGCACATGGTCATAAAAGTAAGGCCCGGGGGACTAATAAAATCTCCCTTTGACTGATCATAAAACCACGGCATCATGTCCAATATTGTGGTTTGATGGCTTGGGGCTCAACGGCGTACAAAGTGGTTGCACAAATTAATTTTAAGCAATTTAGTTGACCTCGATACTACTTTCATCAAAGAAAAATACTGTATTAGAATCTTCTAAAAATTAATTAGTTCGTTACCAAAGAAATATTAAGTGATATGATTTCAGGAATAACACTTTCCCTTATGAAGATAAGATGGCAAATGCAGAATGATTTAAGCCAATAAAGGATTTTTGATGTGCGTTTATGTTTTTGGAGCGCATTTGCGACCTCCTTTTTACCCAATTTATTTTCATTTATATGTAGGACAACCATAAGCTTTAACAAATAATTGTCAGCCATATTATTTTTATTTCTAATAATTTTGTGCTTATTACATTTTTCCAAACTTAATAATTTCTTAAAACAAAACCTTGTTATTACATTTTTCACCTTTTATTTTTATTATGCTTTCTTCCCCCAATCACTAAATTAATAATATTCAATGCTAAAAAAAGTTAAGATATCTCTTTGAGTGAAAAAACATTTACTAATTGTTATAAATTTTTTGCTGTTGTTCGTTGAGTGACCACTTCACCTTTGTCGAGCGGCCTTGTCTTCAATTAACTGCGACTGCGGGCTAAGCGGATGTTTAAGTGGGCGGCAAGGTCGACATTTGCATTGTCCTTTGGCTCTGTTAACATAATAATCAAACAATTTGCCGCTCGGCCAAATTAATACGCCACTAAATAAGATAAACTGCATGGTACTCCAGTACTATTTTGCATTTTTATTACCCTTTTGCCGGGGGACCCTTCATATAGGCCAGAAAACCCAAAGCGCCGTCGCAGAGAGCCGAAATGCGACGAAAAGCAACCGGTAGTTGTCCTCTGCCAGCGTCGGCAGCGACGCCGGCGCCACTGTTGCGTCGCTGTTAGGGCCATGGCCCGAACGGGCTTTGCTGCCAAGATTTGTTGGCCAAAAACCCAGTAGTCAGTCGGATGCTGCGGCCCGTTGCTGTAGCCGCCGCCGTCGCTCTTCGCTTTTCGATTTTCGGAGACGAACAAAACGAGAAATCGGGAAAAACATCAATTTACGCGTGCCCCTCTGTCATATTTTTCGGTTCCGAGAATCATTCTTCGTACCAGAATTAATCAGTGCCATACGCAAATAGTTAAAGCCATTAATTGTGTGAGTGTGTGGTAAATTATCCCCAACGTCTCGCGGTTATTAATCAACATTTAGCACATGGTAAAAACTGATTAGCTAGTGCAATAAAAACACACAAAAAGGAGGGGAGAAAGTGAGTGAAAGGAAAAAGGGGGGCACAGAGTGCAATGCTCGCAATTGCGAATACAAAGTGACAAAATCAAAACAGTTCAAAGCCATAAAAAATAAATGCATTCGAAAAAATGTGGCAGGCATCGTTTGAAAAATTGAAATTAAACGTGTTTTAAATGCACAAACGATAGCCAGCCGAAAGCGAAAAATATAATTAATTGTCATTAGGCGGTATGAAAAGCCCCGAACAGGAGCGCCGAAAAAGTTGTAAACAAGTTGAAAATAAATATGGCATTATCAGGGCCGCAAGATCTCCAGATTGCCAGTGAAATCCATTGACCCGAAACACTAATGGTGCAGAATCTATAATAACATATATGCTTTATGCTAAACGACCTAACAAACAACACAAAAAAAATGAAAATAATAATAACAAAATACGAAACTCACACTTTATGGACATGGGCGGGTGCATAATTTTCGGTGGGATGATACACGGTCCATCATCGGACATCAGGCATTGGAAACCGAAGCGAAAACAGAAAAATGAAAACCAGTTTGATTGAATATACAATATAATAAAACCAAATTCGACAGCATTCTTTGGCCGTGCATATATTGTAGAAACTTTTTTATGATAATGATAATGAAAACGGCCAAAAGCGGTCGACAGCGGTCGGCAGCAACAACAATGAAATAAAATCAGCCGAAAACATTCATCGTCAATGGAATAAAACTATGTTAATATTATTAAGTCACCAAATGTCCACCTGACCTTGAGTGTCGGGCGCGTTTAATTTGCTTGCCACCAGGTGCTGGGAGGGAACCTCTGGCCCAGGTGGCAACGTTCTTAAATTCATCCCGTGTACACAAATATTTTGTCTAAATGCCACTTAGCAATTCAAATTAATTTTCAGCTTCCTTTTGCCCTGAGTCTGGTCTTACGCCTAGGACACGTCTGACTGCCGCCTGCCAGCTTCTCAGGATGCCAGGTAAACATTACACAAACATACATTGAGACACGTGAACTGGGGTGGACCTAAACAGGCTAAATAAGTTTACAAGCCCAACTTTTGCCATCTAAGCAACTGAAAAGGGCATATAATTTATGTATATTTAGTAAACTAGGTTAAACTCATGTCAAATTTGCCACTTTAGGATTTGTTTTAACTTTTTGCAATTTTGCTTGGCCACACTCTATGCCTGTAAATGGTAATATTTCTTTAAATTAAGTTGGACAGGTTATGCTTTAAAGGTTAACAAAAAAATTTTATGTGAATACTTATTACTTAATTTCAATATAATTTTTTTTAACTGCATTAAGTGTACCAAAAAAAAAGTAAGGTGCGATTTAATGAATAAGTAACATATATTTTATACTCATAACTTTGACTAAGAACTTGAATACCAAAATTTAACTGCAATCTAATCAAATCAATTTTATTCAAGACTCGTTGATATACGTAAATTTAAGCAGTTTTTTCAAAGCATTTTATTAAACTGGAACAATATATTTTTGCATAAAAATAAACAATAGCTTTGTTATAAAAATGTAATAATTTCTATTCTGTGTAAGTTGCCCATTGGGGAATTATGGACATGTGTTATTTATATAATTTATATTTCTTATCCATTTCGTTTACAGCCTAGCAATGTTAATGTTAAAGCGTACTTTTTGGTATAGTTTCAAATAAATACAAAATATTAACCTTACTAACATTTAAAATACAATTTTCAAAAAATGTAGGAGAGACGTTCAACGACTTTATTTACCGTATAGATTCCTTTTTATCAAAATAAATATTGATTTTGCTTTCAAAATATTAGTATGTGGAGCAAAAAATTTTGTTTTCTTATTTCTTGTATACAAACTCAAGTGGGATTTATTTGAAAACAACTTCACTTTGATGTTATATGTAATATGTAAGCCATAGGTCCACCTCATCGCTCACATCCGTACTCCTAAATTCATGACAACAGATTGTGAGTGGAGTGGTATTGTCCTAAGTCGAAATTGATGAGCCCCGGTAAGGGGCTTTATGAAAACATTATTCGATTGAAAAAACATAAACAGGAGTCGAAATTCGAAAATAATAGTGCCAACACACGCGGGAACACAAAGGTATACGGAAATACACTAAATACACAGAAGTACAGAAAAGTTCACAGAAGTACACAGAAGGACACACAACAGCCCACACTGACACTCGCATGACATTCAAAATGCTGCCCAATAGCAGCTTCGGTCTCCTGGCAACCGATCTGCAACTGTTCCACAATGAGAAATTCTTTTTGAATCTGACCCAAGTGCTGAATATCTCGGCGGACAACCTGACCAGCCTGCTGCAGGGACTGGAGCCGGAGGAGCTGGTGACCCCGATGACCCCGCTCTCCCTGCTGGCCACCCTCAGCGTGGGCTACGCCCTCATCTTCATCGCCGGCGTGCTGGGCAACCTCATCACCTGCATCGTCATTTCGCGGAACAACTTCATGCACACGGCCACCAACTTTTACCTGTTCAACCTGGCCATTTCCGATATGATCCTGCTCTGCTCAGGTGCGTTCGAAATCTGATAGCATGTTTTTGCTATAACACGTTTAATCAGTTGAAAACCGAAGGTATAAACAAATTTTTAAAGCATTAGAAATATAAATTCTTAAATTATGTTGATGCTTCCAATACAAACAAGAAAGTCGAGTGCTTCCACTGTAAACAAAACGCAACAGGTGGTCATGGCTAATCTATTCGCATCTTGATGCTTATCATGCTTCCTAATAGTCTTTAAATCTTTTTTTATTAACCAAATCTATTCCTATATTCAGGTCATTTATGTATGCAAGCGTAAAGCTTTTACGACTGGTCAAATTTTGTGCCTATTCAAAAGTCTTTTTAAAATGGATTTAAATTAAAATTGTTCTGCAAATATTATTTTTTTTTAAATTTTGTTTTATTATTAATTTAAACATTTGTTTTTACCGTTTTTATTTGTTTTGTTTATTTTATAAACAAAACCGAAATATACATTTGGTATTAGACTTGTAAACATTGGGCAGAATAAATATGCTTTCTAAATATTTATCTGCACATTTTTTGTTGAATTTAGGCATGCCCCAAGACCTGTACAACCTCTGGCACCCGGACAATTATCCTTTCAGCGATAGCATCTGCGTACTGGAAAGCGTTCTCTCGGAAACGGCGGCCAATGCGACCGTCCTGACAATAACCGCTTTCACTGTCGAGCGATACATTGCTATTTGCCATCCGTTCAGGTGAGTGAATATACAACCCAAGCGTTGCCCCTTTTCCAATTTTCCTCACTTTTTCTCATTTATTCTGCTTTTGATACAGGCAGCACACGATGTCCAAGTTGTCACGGGCCGTAAAGTTCATATTCGCCATCTGGATAGCCGCCCTTTTGCTGGCCCTGCCGCAAGCCATTCAGTTTTCCGTGGTGATGCAGGGCATGGGAACATCGTGCACGGTGCGTATGATTGATATGGGGTCGTTCGTCTAATTGTGTAGCAACCTGGTTAACTGAGTTACTAAGCTGGTCTTTTGAGCGAACGAAAAGAGCTTAGTACAGACATCTATTAGTAGTTTATCAAAATTTAATAATGTACTTTTTTGAAGCAGTAATTACTTTGATATATTCAATATATCAGACAATTGTGTAATGAGCTTTGCTGATATTTCATTAAACTAAATACAAAATGACAACAAATAGCAGTACAGCTCATTATACTAAATTAAATAATAAAACTTACTAACATTCATAGTAAAATTTGTGGTATGTTGCATTAAAGCAGTTATGGTTTATTTAAGTTTAGTTTAAATTATAAAAGGTTTGTGGCCTTCGCTCACTGAAAATTATGTAATTTGTTATTCAACACATTGAACGTGTTGATTTGAATCTTAATAGATTATTTAAATAATACATAGTGAACTGAAAGAGAAACAATAGGGCTTTAATATTCTTTCAAGAGGCCACATAACTTTTCTAAATTTACCTCCAACCAAAGATCAATCAGTACCAACCTTTTATGACATTTAACTCAATTCCGAGTTATCAAATTTACGGCCTTGGCCTTCCGGCTTTGGCTGTGAGCCATAACCATATCTTTTCGCTTGGATATATATTTTATTGTGAAATGTCTGCTGCAGATGAAAAACGACTTCTTCGCCCATGTGTTTGCCGTATCGGGCTTCCTCTTCTTTGGCGGACCCATGACGGCCATCTGCGTGCTCTACGTCCTCATCGGGGTGAAGTTGAAGCGGAGCAGGTTGCTCCAGGCGCTGCCCAGGCGATGTTACGACGTGAACCGCGGCATCAGCGCCCAGACTCGAGTCATCCGGATGCTGGGTAAGCTGTTGGTGCCATCTCCGGGATAACTCATGGCCACATCCGCTTCCACATTTCAATTTCCCTTCTCCAGTGGCCGTGGCGGTGGCGTTCTTCATCTGCTGGGCTCCGTTCCACGCCCAGCGCCTCATGGCGGTCTACGGGTCCTCCTCGGGCATCCAGTCCCAGTGGTTCAACGACGTGTTCTGCATCCTCGACTACACGTCCGGCGTGCTCTACTTCCTCTCCACCTGCATCAACCCGCTGCTCTACAACATCATGAGTCACAAGTTCCGTGAGGCATTTAAGGTGGGTTTCCCCCAAGAATTGTATTTCTCTGGGATTCATTATAAGCTTAAGATAATAAATTTCAAAGTGCAACCAATTTGAGGTTCTTATAAACAAAAGTTTAATTTGTTTAATGACTTAAACTTGTACCATAAAATAAATAGAATCGGTTTCAATCTAAAAATAGATTGCCTTCCTTGTGTGAGTGGTATATTTAAATGGCTGTTTAAAAGAATCTTAAAATCAATCGACAAGTGGTATCACCTTTCTTATGCGAATTTAATACCTTTAAATCCAATTTAGGTTACCTTGGCTAGGCACTTTGGACTGGGTGGCAAAAACCAAGGAAGAGGGCTGCCCCATACCTACAGCGCCCTACGGCGCAATCAGACGGGTTCGTTGCGAGTTCACACAACGGTAAGTACACAGAGAAAAATAATATATATTGATCTAAATTTACACATTTAAATTGTAATATTAGAATAGTCATACCCATTTAATTGTTTCCAACCAATTAATCTTAGGTAAACAATCAGACTTGAATAACAATTATGCATAAAAGTTGTTCAACGTTTCCTTTTTTTTTCGTTAAATAATTTAATAATAATATAAAAAAATTCAGAGATGTTTGCTCCAAACGATAATGCACAATTATTTTTTTATTAATAGCAAGTCCGGATAAAGTACTAATAATACATCTCTTCCAAATCAAAGACCAAAAAAATATCTCATAATATTTCCATTTATTTAAGTTTACTTTGACAGTATAACTTTATCATATCTTAAGGTATAAGACATAAATGTTGAAAGCACTTCAGTTGAGCTTAGCCACAAGCTGCAATGGGATATTTAATATATGTTTTTATATTCATCTTAACGGTGCACACTCCATTCTCCCCTTCTGAACATCCTGACTCGTTTCTATTATCCTGCAGGATAGCGTGCGAACCACAATGACTTCCACCGCGACGACCACCACGGGGCTGAATGGCAGTGCCAATGGCAATGGGGCAGCAACAAGTCAGGCGGCGCGCCTGAACCGAGTGTCCTTGGACAGTGCCCAACTGCAGGGTCAGAATCGCAGCAGGCAGGACCTCTTCGACAACCCGCGTCGCACTCTCCAGACGCAGATATCGCAACTGTCGTCGGTGGGCGATGCCCATTCCCTGCTGGAGGAGGACTTGCAGTATCCCGAGGAGCCACTGCAGCGGCAGCCCACAATGTGCTCCATTGACGAGCTCACCGATGACTTGGCCATCTCGCGGTCACGCCTCAAGCTCACGCGCATCACCCGCCCTCCGGGGCCGGGGGGCGTGGCTGGGGGCGGGACGGGGGGCGTGAGCGGTGACGAGTCAAGTGGCAAAGTGCGCAAGGCGAAAGTGAAAGCGCTGAAGAGCTCAAGCGCCCTCAAGGGTCTCAGGGCCAAATTCAATTGGCGTGCCAGACGCAAAGGCAACAGCCACAAACCGCAGGAAAAGGGGGCGGCGGGGGCTGGCGAAGACTCCGGCGAGCGGACCGCCTTTTAAAGGGGGGTCCATCCCCTCCCCCCGGAGTCCATTCCAGTGCCACCTACAGACACACACACACAACTGTGATACGAGCAGCAAGCGCCTCTCCAGCTTGTTTGTGTTTAACCCTAGACAAATATTCCACGCTGCAGTCAATTAGTTGTTCTTGCTCACATTATAGCCCAAAGCTATAGTTCGAATTCTATTTATGGTACTTGTAACCGGATCGAGTTGGAACGCAATAAACTATATAGTTAATTCACATTACAAAATGTTAGATCCTGTTTTATTTATGAAATGCAGTTTCAAAACATCACAGTAAGTTCAAAATTAGGTGAAATATTACACCATGGATAATGTACATCATACTACACAATATTAAACTTTATTTTATATTTTATTTTTTATAAGATATTTGATAGATTTTCTAAATTCGAAATTATTTTTATGTAACATTGTATAAATTTATTTAATATATATATCATTTAATTTAGTTTTCGTTAATTACAATTTTCATATAATCTTTAATTTTTATTTGTCTGAACATTATTTTATACAAAATGTGGATTAAGTTGAGGATTATCAAGACGAGGGTTCAACGGGCGACTGGCTAATGACTGTCAGTAAAAAGCGGCCATAGACAGAATCGCACTGCATCATAATCCCGGGTCATTAAGATGGTTATCTGGCGCACAAATTCGCTTTTCGGTCTGGAGTCTAGACGATGAAAACAAAAGTTGCGATTTGGCCAATATTTGCTGACAACTGCTGAGTGGATGCCATGGTCGTGTGAGTGTGTTTAAGACTAATTACTATGCCATAGCAGAGTGTCCCCGCCAATTTAGTTTTTCAGTTTTAATTTCAGCGAATGCAATTAGTCCAGCGAGCTGAGCAGATTTTGCGTATGTGCAGCCAGAAATAAATGGGGCTTAATTCATAAAGTGCAGCATATGTTGCCAAGATGTGGTCGCCATGAATAACTGAGACCGCAAAAACTTTGTTTAATTTGTTCTAAAGTTTTAGAATTAATGTTCATTTCCGGTTGCACAAGTTGGGTTTTGCTTCACAATTAACTGGGAAAATATAACCAAAAAGCTTATGTAACAACACATCGGTCATTTGCCGAGTGGGTCATGAGAACTTAGTAAAAAGTTCTAAGTAAAGAAATTCTTGTGAATTCTTGTGAAAAGCATCAATTAAAATGACAGAAAGTTCACATTACGTAAAATAAAACTTAGACAAAACAGATAACATTTGTCATTTAAAAAAAATAATAATTACAAAGGAAAGCCTATATACACGTTGGTGATAGATAACATTGAATATAATAAAAACTATACTTTTTCAAGCAATTTAAAATGGTATGCTTTAATCCAATTAATGAAATGTCTAAGCTGTTTAGTGACCAAATTTGGAAAATAGTGTGTAAGGGCATATTGCATATTGACTGAGTTCTTTACACAAAAAAACGATATATATTTTTAACTTACGCAGGAGAAGTTAAAATATCAAATACAAAGTTTGTTTTTGTTTACGATTAGGCACATAAAATTTGAGATGTCGTTAGCTAAACGATAAAAACAAGATTTAATAGTGTTTACGCAGACCGATTTCCTATCTATTAAATTTATGTTCTCCACTTGGTATTTAGACAGTATTGTCAACTCTTTAATGCCAGATACAAGATGCTAATCCATTACACACGCCCAGGCGATCCACTTTTTATGGCCGGCGACCAAGACGACTTTGTGCGCCTGTGTGTCTGGGTCGGGACCTTTTTTCATCAATGGGCGGCCATCATTTATGCGACATAAAAGTCAAAGGCTGTCAAATAGTTTCGATGAACTTCATCATTTTTATGCACACAACAAAAATAGTCAGGGACCACATATAGAGACAAAAAGTTGTTGATAACCATTACTCTGCCAACAAACCACACAATAAATTTGAGTGGGTTTCATTTTGTGCAAATTTACTATCACTTGTCTCGATGGATAGGAGACTGAAAGCAATTGAAGCATTCAATTTACGGGCCAGCCTAAAAGCCTTTTCTGCTCTTATTTTAAATTCGCCGATACGTCTTTGTTCATATCACGCATACGCAGTGTGTGCCTGGAACCGTCATAACGCATAAATATGATATAAATAAGCAGTTCTGCGGAGAGGAGAAGGCAGCGAAATAAAGCCAAGCCCAGATCCCAGTGACTGTGCAATAAACTCTCAATTTCATTTATATGTATGAGCAATATATGTTAGCAATTCAAATGGACGATGTGCCAGACTCACTAAGCTATCTACAGCGCTGTATACACACACATATGAGATGGGCGTACTGGATCAATTAAACCGTAAAATACTGTTGCCTACTTTCCACGGCCATCGATTTATGAGTCCCTTCGAATCGGTGGAAAAATTGAATGGAATTTATAAGCTGCAAAATCGGCGGGTGCCCAACCACTAAGCCCCTCCGATCGCTTTGCATAACACTATTAATTAGGAGCCCGCCACGCCAGGCGCATATGATGCAATTAGGAGGTTGAAGTTGTGTGGGTAAAAATACTGGATAACTGGGGTGACGCTTTAATGCCTGCCATAAATTTGTTAAAGTCTCTGTTGAATTTTGATTTTAAATTTTAAAGTTCTACCAGGCAAGAAAATAAGTTTAAAATGTTGTAAATTTTTTGATTTTTTAATTAGTACCTTGAAATAGCTCTGAAGACATTTATAATACATAATATAATATTTATATATAATATATAATATTTCAAAATTGCCAAAAGGCGGTATTCAGGCTCACCCTATTGCAATCGCTTTTGGAAATACAAACATTTCAGGCAGTGCGTTTCGCACTTCACTTGGACCGACCCCGCCCATCCTTTATGGAATCCCCTTGATACAGAAAAGATGCCTGTGATGCCGGATCCACTTGGCACGTACGGATTGATGCTTTCGTTAGGGACTTGTGCGGTTACCATTTGATATATCTGACTTTTCGCCAGGACTCTGTGTTTGCTCATATCCTTTCCTCCTCTAACTCTGGCTACGGATCCGGTTTCTTGGTCTTGTGGGTGTTGTCGCTGCAATGAAATTGGTATTGTTTTGCGCATTTCGCACGTAGTTACTGCTCATGGGAGTGTACTCATAAAAGCGAATTTGATCGGAACTGACAGGAGAAACGAGCTCAATATGCTTGGATTGCCTAAACACCAACTAAACTGCAATTCAATCGCTGTATTTTCCCAGGCGACGCCTTAAATGCCAAATCACTTACTCCTTATTCCGGAAACAAAGAGAAGCCAACAAATTTATATGGCCGTTGGAATATAATAATAATGCAATTTTATTTTTAAAAAACCTTTTGAATTTGAAAGATGTATGTCATACGCTTTTGCTAAATAAAAGATTACTTAATTTAAAATAAACCTGTAATTAATAAGCTCAAGTAAAGATCAAGCATCGACAAATTTGTATCCACTCCCAAAAGCTAAATCAGAGCAAATAAAAAAAGGTAAAAAATGTTTTAAAAACTAGTTTTCTGATAAAATCAGGAATTCGTTAGAATTAATTTTTAAAAGCTTCGTTGTTGAACAGCCAACTCTTAAGCAAAGTAAATAATTCTTAACAAAACACCAAAATCAGCTCATCAAATGGCACAAGCTATCGCTTACTTATACGTATACTCGTATATTTTATTTCCTTTTAATATATTCCATACACTTTTTTAGGGGCGTGTGACCCCGCCGGCAAATCAAAAACTTTATATCTGACTAAAGTATAAATAGATGACAGCAGCTATAATTATGATGCATGGCACATAAAAAAGGGGCTTAGGTTTGAAACTGTCAGTCAATGCATATTTTAGGGCAAGCTAATTTTTATATTTTTAGTTTCAAGTTTACATAAATAAATATGCGTTCTAGAATTCAAAGAAGGCGGAATAAATCCATTGACCAATCGCGCCACAAATTCCAAGGGCAAATCTACAATTCTGGTTTATCTCGGTTCACCATCAATGGATTTGCAAAAAATTGATCAGAAGGCCCAAAGAATTTGCCGGCAACCGGTTAATATTAAGTTTGCATATATTTAGTATTTGATATGATAATCATTTATCAACCAGCATTTTGATTAAACAAGCAATGAATGCAGTTAAAAGTAAACGATTTCATAACAGAACAATACAAATATCTATCGTTTTTTTGTTTGTATTTTTTGATAAAACAACGTTAGACTGTCTAAGTCCAGTAATTTAATTTAATCCACCTCACAAAAGCATGAACCCTATTAAAAATATTTATCTTCGTTACACTTAGAGAATATTTGATTGTTTAAAAAACAATTTCCAAACAAAAGAAAAAGACATTTATAACAAAAATCAATTCTATGAAATTATTTTAAGTATAAATGTATAAATCAAAGGCGCAGTTGCATCAGAAAACCGTTTCTTTATTTTTTTGAATCGGGGTAATTAATAAAACATTATGAGCATTTAACTTGTATAGCTTATTTGGAAAACAACTGTTTGGATTAAATGGAAAATCAATGCCAAAGACTTGGTAATGACGTGGGTCATAAATGCAGGCGGATTCCGCTTAAATGCTCGCTACCAAAACAAGACCGCAAATTTATGACTGGCTGTTAAAAAATACCGCCTAGCACAAAGAAATTATTGAATCGAATGGCGGCATAACAATCCTAATTAATTGTAAACAAGCCATGAAAAACATCAGCTCATAGTACACACACCCGGCACTTGCAGCTCATTTATATGGCAGAACGAAGGAGTGGGTGGTGCCATGGTGGGTGAATGGGCGGTGGGTGGTGGTGCTTACGGGTGGTGCTGCTCATTGTGATCCCTTTTACTGCACCGCGGGCTGCGAGTGTGTGCGTGAGAGCAAAGAGTGACGGCTTCGCTGACGGTTTCCATTTGTACGATATACAATAATATTTTGATTGACTTTCCCCCCACAAGCGGAATGGGCAGCACAACAAAGTGGCATTTGATTTACGCCGACACGGAAAACAAGTTGTTAAGTCGAGTCAATCTGGGAATCGTTTTTTTCGAATGCGGGGAGCCCCATTAGCACGTTGGGTTTGCTCTTCAGAAAATGTTTGTGAATGAATGATGGGATTAATGAG